TCTCTCTCTCTCTCTCTCTCTCTCTCTCTCTCAAATAAATAAAAAAAAATAAAAAAATAAAAAAAAGAAAGAAAGAAATGTATTCTATCATAACAGTAGTCCCTAAACTTTTTGGGACCAGGGACCATCTTTGGAAGAGAATTTTCCATGAACTGGATGGGGAGTGTTATGGTTTGTGTCTACTTGTCCCCCTAATGCTGTATGCAGTCATGGGGCAGACTTCTAGAGTTTGTGACTAACTCATGGTCCACTGGGATTATGGTGCAAGTACTTTTCCCAGCCTGGGCCAATAGCCTGAATTTTATCTTAAGGGAGACAGACTTGCTCTCTGTAGCCATTGTTGCTGTTACTCCTCCCTTTTGCTCTTGCTGTTTTGTTGCCTTCTGATGCCATGAACTGCTGCCCTCTGCCATGTGCCAGTCTGCCTTGGAGCCAGCTGAGTATGGACTGAAACCTCCAGTAACTGTGAGCTAAATAAACCTTTCCTTCCTTTATTTTGGGCATTGGGCATTTGTCCAAGCAATGAGGGAAGAATAATTGAGACAATATCTATTAAAGATATGAAGAAAGTATACACTGCTAACAAAAAATGAAAATTAAAAACCATACCAAAATATATTTTTGCTTATAAAAACAAGAAGATTAATTTTAAAGAGTAAAAGTGCTAAATACTAGTGCATTATATTTGGTATGAATATGGCAAGTTGCCTATTTTTGATTGCTGATTAGAGTAGATGTATACAACTGTGTAAAGCAGTTCTGTGATAATGTTAAAATTTGAAGACTATTCATTTCTAGTACACTTATTTATTGCTACATAGCAAATTACTGTAAAACTTAGCAATTTAGTACCACCATAAGTTGGGCATGGTGGCACATATCTGTAATACCAGCTCTTGGGAGGTTGAGACAAAATGATTGTGAGTGCATAGCAAGTCTAGACGACATAGTGAGACCTTGTCTCAAACTCATGAACAAATAAAGCAATAAACATATCACCACATATAATTTCTGTCATAGTAAGTTTAAAAGTGGCTTCGTTGGGTGTTTCTAGCTTAGGAGTCTCTCAGAAATGTGCAATAATGCTTCAGCCAGAGCTGTAGCCATCTGGAAGCTTGAGTGAGATCCCTGTCCGAGATGGCTCACTAACCTGAAGGGGGCGCAGTGGGCAGAAAGGCACTATATCTCACCATGCTAACTCCTTCAGTGGGCCACTTGAAGATCTTCATGGCAAGGTGGTTAGATTTTTACCAAGGTTAAATTACCAAAAAGATAGCAAAGATGGAAGCTGTACAGCTTTGTGATCTGGGAATTTACACACTTCGTTTCCACAATATCCTCTAATGTGAGGTGGGACTACCACCGAAGGGTATAAATATTAGAGGAAAGGACCATTAGGGACCATTTTGGCAATTGTTTACCACAAATGGTGCTTACTTTCATGCTTAAAAGATCTGGATCTTCCAGAGCTTAATAATTCCACCGGCCCCATGCAGGGCCTAGCTTATCTATCAATGATATTTCACTTTGCATCTGTTTTGGATTACTCTTGGTACCACGTTCCCTTATGGCACAATTCTCCATGTGGGCTTCCTTATTTTGTTTGTTAACAAGCAGGGCAATGAGAAGACATCCTTGATTAACAGAAGCTGAGAAAACAGAAAGAAATAAAGATTTACCGAGGAATATTTTCAGGCTGATAACTTTTAATTCTAGTGTTCACTTGTAGCTGGCCATGATGTGAATTATAACAGTGTGTTTTTCCAAGAGTCAGATAGATAGTTAGGCATTAACAGGCCTAAGGGACAAATGGGGTGGGTCTAAAATAGCACGTCTTACCAGTTATAATTAAGAAACAAAGGCTTCTATGTATAATACATTTATAATTACTTGTTAGGTCTCAGATCTAAGGCAGTCCCACAGAGCACAATGACAATACAGTGTTACACATTGTGTACAGTCCTTCTGATATTTGGCCACCTGACTGTTTATTTCCAAAATAGAGCATGCAGCATTCTTGGGTTGTACTGCCTACACCCAGTGACATCAGAAAAATTGACATTCTTTAATGAGCCTTCCTTGTTGGGCTGGGACCTGATTTAGATTCCTAACTTTATTTATTTTTTCTTTTATTTTTGGCAGAACCAAGGATTGAACTCAGGTCCTTGTGCTTGCCAGGGATAGATTCCTAACTTTAGATTCCTAACTTGAGGGAGCACTGACCACCTGAAAGGAACAAGGAAGATGCCTTTGAGATGTCCACATTCCAAAGGAAACTCAAAGAAAAAAGGTGCTAACCACACTCATTGGCTGAGTGTCAACGAAACAGTGATAATCATAGATCCCTTAACCCCAGGAGTAACTTTTGTGTGCATGAAAAGATACCTAAACTCAAAACCCAGAGTGGTAGTGCAAGTCTGCAATCCCAGCACTGGAAAGGCTGAGACAGGAGGATCACTATGAGTCTGAGCTGTATAGTGAGATCCTGTACCAAATAAATAAATAAAAAGATACCCAAACTCACCACTCAAACAGATGCCTTTGTGGCACTGCCCCTTTTCTCTCCTGAAGGCATAGCTCACTACATCTCGACTTCTTCCTGCTTGTACTTCTGCATGGATACATTGTGACTGAATTCTTTCATCAAAGGCCCAAAGAACCAAGGAGTGAGGGGCTCTTACATCAGGGTTCAGCATCCCAGTGATGCGGGGAGGACATACTTAATTTGTAAAAGCTTAGCATTTACTTTCTGTGATTATAATATACTTATTTCAATAAGCAGATAAGAATAAGATGACTTTCTTTAACTAACACCTTTTTAACCAATGAATTCCTCAGAGGATCCCTACAATGTCTTTCACAGCATTTTTACCTTTATATTTTGAGCATAATATTATACATATCTACTTCATTGTATCAACTCCAAGTCCCTTAAAATTAGAGTTCATTTCTCTTTCATCTTTTCCCTCTGCTCAGGACTTAATGTGGGTGAATTTTCTACTTCTTTGCCCAGTTCTTTCATTTGACCCTTTCTTTGTATAAATAGATAGATGGCAGTGCTGCCTTCTTACAAGACCATGAGTCTGCAATATCACAAAGGCCTGCTAAGGTTTACTTGATTATTGTATTTCAAAACCCCATGCCCTTAGGGCTGGCCAAATAGCTCAGCGGATTAAAGTGCCTGCTTAGGCAGATGCAGGGGACGGGAGTTCAATCCTGGGGCCTGCTGGAGTTTGATCCCCAGGCCTGCTGTGCCAGCCCCACCCCTGGGACATGCTGAGACAGCGATTGAAACTGGACATGGTGGCACTCCCCTGTAATCCCAGCACTTGGAAGGCTGTAAACAGGAGGATCACTACGAGTATGATCTATGCAGAGAGACCCTGGAGACCCTGAAAACCCTGTCCCAAAAAAACAAAACAAACAAACAAAAAACCTCATGCCCTCAAAAAATTGACATGGACTTCAGACTTATGTGAAAATAGTCATAAAAAAGCAAAAGAGTGCACATTGCTCTCCTTATTCTGCCCCAAAGGGGCCATCCAGACAAAAAACAAGTACATCTCAGTGGCAACCAGACAGAGCTCCCCAACCTCTCCACTTTATACACCCCCACCACCACCACACACACCTGGCTGGGGACTTGGGGAAAGGAGATGGGGAAAAATTGTGTCTTAGTTACTTTCTTGTCATTGGGACACAATACCTAACACTCACAACTTGCAGGAGGAAAGGTTTATTTTGGCTCAAAATTTTAGAGGTTTCAGTCCTAGTTAGCTGGCCTGAAAGCAGGACAACATGGCGGAGGGGCATTGCAGAGGAGAAAGAGCTCAAGGCATGGCAGCAGAAGACATGAAGGGAGAAAATGATAGATCTGGGAAACACACCCGGTGACCCATTTACTCCAACCAGATTTTAATCTCCCAACATCACATTTGACTATAAACTCATCAGTGGATTAGTCAAACCCCTATGACCCAACCAACTCCCCCAAACCTCACCCATGAGTGCATGAGGCTTTGGGGGAACATCCAGACATAAACCTTAATACTGTCTGACTCTAAGTTTCTGCCACCCCATCAAAAGGGAGTTAGAATTACAAAATGTTGAATTATGTCAAAGTAAAGACTTCATTACTTTTATTACAGGAAGTAATGAATTTATTAATTTATTACATATCTAGTTTGTTGAATGACGCTCCTAATTGCCATGCTTGTTACTTTGTAACTATCTGTTAAATTGGATAACAGAATGAAAAAAACATAAGCCTTCAAAGATTTAAGTTTTCCCTGGGTGGAACAAGGCAAGATGAGGCAGAACAAGGCAAGATAGACAGAGAAAGACAAGGATTGCTGGGCATGGGAGCACACAACTGTAATATCAGATTTCTGGGCAGCTGAGGTAGGAGAATCATACATTCGAACTCATCCAGTGCAATTAGTGACTTGGCAAGACCCTGTCTCAAAAGAATAAAAATAAAAATAAAAAAGTAAAAAGGGCTGTGGAAGTGTAAAAGCCCTGGCTTCCTGTGTTCAATCCCCATTACTGGAATTATTAGTTTAAGGTAGTGAAAAGTGGTAAACCCTTTCCACTAGTATGTGGGACATTTTCTTGGAGGTCTGCTCCCTCAGAAATGTGATAAGTTTTACTTTCTTGGGTTCCCAGTGGTGAGGTGGGATGCCTCCACAAGAAAAGCGACTAAGTGTATCTCGTGTGTGAAAGCATTCAGCACTGCGGTAGGTATTTTAAAATGACATTGACACGTTTTACTCACAGTCCTTCTGTTCCAACGTAGTCCACCCAATCACCTCGCGACCCCGCCCCTTCTGGGCCCGCCTCCTTCAATCCGAGGGGGTTGGCTCTGCCTTCACTTCCGGCGTCTGGACCCGGGCGCTAGCGGCTTCCGGTGTCATGGCGGCCTGAGGTCCCGGGAGTCGGTGAGGCGGCTGCAGGCCCCTCCCTGCGGAGCCGCTGGTCCGGCGGGCGGGGATGTGACCACGGGCCCTGCCAGCCTGCCCCGGGCGTCGTGTCAGCTCCCTCGTCAGCACCTGTGCCCACACCGATGGCGGGGTCCGGCTGTGCGTGGGGCGCCGAGCCGCCGAGGTTTCTGGAGGCCTTTGGGCGGCTGTGGCAGGTACAGAGCCGCCTGGGTAGCGGCTCCTCGGCCTCGGTGTATCGGGTGCGCTGCTGCGGCACGCCTGGCTCGCCCCCCGGCGCTCTCAAGCAGTTCCTGCCTCCGGGAACCACCGGGGCTGCGGCGTCGGCCGCGGAGTACGGTTTCCGCAAAGAGAGGGCAGCGCTGGAGCAGTTGCAGGGTCACAGAAACATCGGTAATTGTCGCCACCTCCCTTCCTGCCCAGGTCCCAGTGCTGGCGTGCACTTCTTCGGGCTGGAGGCCTCCCCTTCCTTAGGCGGGAGAAGCGCGTCTGACCCCTTGTTGTCGCTCGGTGCAGGCCCCCTTTCCATCCACCTTTCCTCTTACTGTCGCCTGCCCGGAGGACGGTGGAGTTTGTGGTCCGCTTCGACTAGTGGCCTATATCGTGGATGCTCAGTAAGACCCATTTACCGGGGCTCTTAGGTGAATGCCGCATTCATTAGCATACAGAAATCTCTTTTCTAGTGAAAAGAGGTGTTTGCTGGATTGTCATCATGCCATACCAGTGGAGAATAGGAAATATTCTGGAGCTATGACATCACAGCTACCATAATAACTTAGATAGCTGTCAACTGATCGATGTTTAGTGTGAACTTGAAAGAAATGACTCAGTGTTCCACAGGATTCTTTATGGAAACGTGGCATGTAGGAATACTTTGCTTTTACTATAGTAAGATTGCTTTGTGACTTATATTTCAAATGTTCCATATGTAATGATCATTGGTGATTGATCAGTGAAAACAATCTCGTCATTACACCAGCAGAGAGCTTATAATTAGTGATAACTTTGGCCAGTTCATTTAAAAAATAAAATAAAATAAAATAAACTTTTGGGCAGATATAATCCTTACTTAATCGGAAGAATGACGTTTTTAATAATATAGTATTGGTGAAGGATTGCATAAATAGCACTGCATTTTTTTTAAGCTTGCTAAATGGTGTATCTTTATAACCTTGAGAGTGAAGAGAGAATTTCTGCAGACTTCAGGACTTGTTGAATCTGCAAGACCAGGTTACAATGTTTTAGTATGGAATGCTGTTTTGGGTCAAGAAACCAGCTTCAATTTGTTTCAAAAAAAAAAAATTACTTTGTTATTACAGTTTTGATTTTTAATAATTTTAATTTGACACCCTAAGTGCAGATTTACTCACCAGTGATCCCTTGTTGAAATGCAGTTTGAATCATTATGCTTTATTTAATATCTTCAACTGGTTGAAGCTGTTGAAGGTTGTCTCATTTTATGAAAATAACCTAGTTATCAGATCTTACAGGAAATTTAGTGGAAGCTTGTTGAACCGAGTTACCCTTAGCTAGACTGTTTCAAATTTATATTGTAGAGCTATATACTTGAGTAGTAATTTACTGAGAGATTTTTAAGGCATTGTAATCTGTTTCTTTTTCTAGTGACTTTATATGGAGTCTTTACAATCCACTTCTCTCCAAATGTGCCATCCCGCTGTCTGTTGCTTGAACTCCTGGATGTCAGTGTTTCGGAATTGCTTTTATATTCCAGTCACCAGGGTTGTTCCATGTGGATGATACAGCATTGTGCCAGGGATGTGCTGGAAGCCCTTGCTTTTCTTCACCATGAGGGTTATGTCCATGCAGACCTCAAACCAAGAAACATATTGTGGAGTGCAGAGAATGAATGTTTTAAACTCATTGACTTTGGACTTAGCTTCAAAGAAGGCAATCAGGTAAGAAGTGCCTTTTTTCCCCCCTTATCATTTAAAATCTAGTGGTCTATTGCCTGGCAAGCACAGGGTCCTGAGTTCAGTCCCCCGTCCTGCAAAAAAATAAAAAATAAAAAAAATCTAGTGGTCTAAATTGCAAATTTGGAGAAAAACAAGGACACTTTAATTGAAACTGAAGTATTTCTAGCTAAAACCCAAAAATGCCTGGGATGAAAGCAAATCAGTGAGAATTTCAGGGCCACCATGTACAAAAAGGACATGTGTTTCGGTCAGGAGGGAGAAACTAGTAGGACATAGAAGTTAATAAAAGCACTTAACCTACATAGAATTTTTTTTTTTTTTCTATGAGCATTTGGTTAATTGCCAAGTTACTGATCCTAGTGTCTTTAGTATTGGTGCTGTATTTCATGGAATAATGTACCTGACAGTTCTGGCATGTCATTCTCCGTGCCTTATCAGCTCTTTGCAAAGTGTCTTTTTTAATCAGCAGTGCCTGGTGCTGGTGAGATGGCTCAGTGGTCTAAAGCACCTACTTAGAACAAGCTTAGCAAAGCACAGGGACTGCGGTTCAATCCCCCAGCACCACATGCCAGCCAGCCCCGCCCCCTGGTGGGCTAAGCTGGCCACACACACACACACACACACACACACACAAATAAATAAATAAAAAATTAAAAAAAAAATAATCAGCAGTGCCTGATATGTAAGAAACTCCCTAAAGAAGACTTCTTTATGAACAACTGTATAGAAAGTATATAGTTTGTCTGTGACTGTCCAGTTAATGAACCAAAGAATTAGGTAACCAAGGACTGAACATTTTGACATTTAGTTGGGCACTGTTTTATTGCATATATAGAGAAGTAAATTTATTGGGGGTTTTTTGTTGTTGTTTTGTTTTGTTTCGTTTTGTTTTGTTGTGGAACCGGGGATTGAACTCAGGCCCTTGCGCTTGCCAGGGAAGCACTTATTCCACTGAGCCATCTCCCTGGCCCCAGTAAATTTATTCTGTTGAGCTTGATGGAAAGTGCACAGTTATTTATTGGTTATCATATTTATTCATTTTCTTTAGGATGTAAAGTATATTCAGACAGACGGGTACCGGGCTCCAGAAGCAGAATTGCAAAATTGCTTGGCCCAGGCTGGCCTGCAGAGTGACACGGAATGTACCTCAGCTGTTGATCTGTGGAGCCTAGGAATCATTTTACTGGAAATGTTCTCAGGAATGAAACTGAAACATACAGTCAGATCTCAGGAATGGAAGGTAAATGACACAAGTGTTTTGCTATAGAATCCTTAAGAATATTCAGTTTATAATGATTTTTATTAGCGAATCCAATTGTATCCTTCAAACTCCTCTTCCTATGTTTATGGCAGCTTAAATGCTACTACTTACTCTTATAGTTATGCATATGCAAATGACCATTGCATCTTCACTGTTCTTAGCCTGGGTACTAGCATGTTGTGTTTGATAAAATACTGAAATGAACATATTTTCCTGAAGAATCAAAGTGATTTCTTAATTTAGCAATTTAGTTATATTAGTTTCTAAGGCATAACTAATAGAACCATGTACTAGAAGGTAATCTGTACATAATACTTTATAGTGAAAAACAGTAATTTAATGTACAGTATATTCTTCCAACTATTCTGTGAGGATACAGTAGACATTGCTTTTTTATTTTTTGTTTTTTCTTTTCTTTTGCGGTACTAAGGATTGAACTCAGGACCCTGCATTTGCCAGGCAGATGCTTATTCTACTGAGCCATCTTCCCAGCCCTTATTTTTGTTTACTACACGGAAAGCTTAGCAGGGCTTGGTGACAGACAGCTGCAATCTAGCACTGTAAGAGGCTAGCGTAGGAGGGCTACATGTTAAAGCCCAGCCTGGGCAACTTAGTGAATTAATGGGATACTATCTCAAAAGGAAAAATAAAAAGGGGCTAGGCATATAGATGAGTGTATAACCCTTGTGTTAATTTCCAGTACAAGGGAGGGCAGGGAAAGAAGCACAAAGACCGTGGGACTTTGATGTGTTCAAACCAGTATCCTTTAGCCTTGGTTTGATAATATAATGCTTTGGGGTTATTACTGATTTGAAATTAAATTTTTTGAAATTAAACAAATATTTAATATGAAGTGTCTATATTAAGCAATAACTTTTTTGAGTTACACATAATGTACTATGTGACCATTAAAGTATAGCATACAGAGTTTTATTTCTATTAAAACTTTCAGTTACTGATATCTGGTGTAGCAGTTCTTGGAAGGAATACTTCTAACAGCACAATGAGTATGTTTAGCACTTCTTTTTGGCCAAAAATTGTTGCCACAAGGTAAAACCAGTATCATTCTTTATTGTTGCTCCTCCAGACAGTCAAGAGGATAATCCAAATATAGATTGGCTATTTGAATTAACCTTGACTCTCTGTGGCCCCTTGGGACTGTGTTTGCTTGGCCCAGAACTTATTAGAATTAGGTCACTCTCAAATCTATGAAATGTGGTGGTACAGAATGTATTAATGGAGTCCTGAATATAGACCTTTCTAGGTAAAACGTTATTTTGTTTTATCAGTTTCTATAAGGCAAAATTACCAACTAGTATGTTTAGGGTTTATATCTTGCTTTTGCTTCTTACTGTTACTATTCGTTATTTTTCTAAACCATGGTTTATATTCTAAAAAATGAGAATAATAACATACATCATTAATAGTAGAGAGGTTAAATGATGAAATGATGCTTAGTTTTTTATAGTGTATGAGCCAGGGTAAGAATTCAGTAAATTGAAGTGATAATATGGTAAAAGGTCATTTTGTTTTGTACAGCACTGGGAATTGAGCCCCATGGTCTAAACAGGGTCTTGCTAGGTCACTAATTTGCCCAGTTTGCCCAGTTTAACTTGTGATCCTCCTGCCTCAGCTGGCCAGGGGATTACAAGCATGTGTCACCACACCCAGTTTGTATCAGATTTTTTTTGTTCATGGACAAAATCACGCATCCTGAGTTAGCATAGTACTTAAGGAAAAAAGTATTCTGTAAAGATTTAGAGTATGTGTAATGTGACAAATAACAGTTTAATACTCATTTTCTCAGTGACAGTTTATTTCTGTCTGAAAATCACCTGAAGACTATTAGACACTAACTCATTTGTTAGACGTTTATTTTCTCACTTTGCATTTCATTACATTTTTTTCATGGTTGCTTGGGTTAAATGTGCATAGAGTGCCAGGTACTGTTAGGTGCTGAGAATAGAGGAAAAGTGTTCTTTCTCCACAAACTTACGATTATGTGCAGTCTCCTCTGTTAAATTTGTAAGCTCCCAGGAGAGTTCAGCTCAAATTTTCTCTTGTGTATTAACTAGTAAACAATGCTGTGTGCCTCGTACTACATAGATACATGTTAAATTTGAATAACCTAAAGAAGGCTTTTCTCTTTTTTTTTTTTTTTTTTTTTTTTTTTTTTTTTTTTTTTTTTTTTTTTTTTGGGGGTTTTTTTTTTTTTTTTTTTTTTTTTTTTTTTTTTTTTTTTTTTTTTTTAAGGCAAACAGTTCTGCTATTATTGATCACATATTTGCCAGTAAAGCAGTGGTGAATGCTGCAATTCCAGTCTATCACCTAAGAGACCTTATCAAAAGGTACATTGCCTGTATTGTCAACTGCTTTTGTATACATTTACTGTACGAAAGTTTCTTTCTAAATGGATTTCAGATTTGCTTGATCATTTAGAGATTTTACAGTCTTAGAAATAAGAATCTTAGCATAGATATCCTATGTTGGCAGCCTTCTCATGAGAAATACAACTATTCAAATAGTTTTACAAGATTATTTTCAAAATAATGTTGTTTTGTTCACGGTGGGTAGCAGATGTTAAGCTTGTCCTTGTAACCTTTTATTCGCTAGAAGGTAAGTGCTGGGCCATTGAACCTTTGGCTTTTTTTTTTTTTTTTTTTTTTTTTTTTGGTGGAACTGGGGATGGAACTGAGACTCTTGCGCTTGCCAGGGAAGCGCTTACTCCACTAAGCCATCTCCCAGCCCACCTTTGGCCTTTTGTATCTCTAGCAATTTTATGTATCTGATGTAAAACCAGTTTTTAAACAGACTTTTTTGTTCACAAAAGACCAAATTTCCTTTTGGACTATTCAAAAACAACCTTTTTGAATAAAGTAGTTCTTAATTATATTTCAAATCATTATTGTTGAAAACTCTCTGAGAGTATAGTGTTTCCAATATTTGAGTAGATTGAAATAAAATAAATATTTGTAAAATAATGAATACTATAACATGTATTCTCATACTAGACTTTTTGGGTTTCTAGCATAATGAGCTAAAAATTAATACTGTGCTAGAAAAGTGTGACTCTCTTGGTTAAGTAAGAGTATTGTAGTTTTTTTTTAAAAATACTGGCCCTACGAATGTGCAAATTAGTTTGAACTTTCTATTTTTAAATAATTAAAACTCACCAGAACTTGGAATATATTATATTGTGGTCCAGATTTCACCCCGTTTCTCCCAGTGATAGCTTCTGACATTACTACAGTAGAATATCAAAGCTATAAATTGATGTTGGCACAATTCACAGAATTCCTAGAGATTTCACCTATCTTACATATACTTATTTGTGTATATGTATGTTTTTCAGATTATTCAAAAATATCTGTAAGTAGCTCATTGTTAATGGATATGACAAATTGCAATTCAAATCAAGGAAATAGCAGTGTAAAATTAGATAATGGACATTAGCCTGAAAATCAAATTATGTATTAAATTCTCATGTTGATTTTTAAAACTTAGAAGTACCCCCTTATACAGATAAAACTCAATTTGTTAACTACAAAAATTGTGATGAAATAAAAAATATAAATTGAGTGTCTGAAGTTAATGTTTCAGTATATTAAGGTACTTTTCTGTGTATCATGTATGTATGCAAATTCTTTGAATTTTTTTATTTCAGTATTAAGCACAGCTATTGAAAATGTTAATAAAACAAATATGTAGCATGATGGCTCCTTAGAAATATTGTAATCAGCTATTTATTGAAAGAACAAAACACTACTAGAGTTCCTGTCTGTGTCTCCATTCCAGTTGTGGGTCCCTTTTCCCTAAAAGTAACCATTGTGCTGACTTTCCTGATGATCACTTCCTGTTTTCAAATCCTTAAGCTATGATTTAGTTTTGCCCTTCAAAACAAAGCTTTTAAAGTCTTGAAATCAAAAAGGTTCCTTGCTGGTTTTTTTCCCTTCTTTTCTGTGACTTGCTATTATACAACTTGGGTTGTTGGCTCAATAAAGTTTTCCACAGCTTGAATTTTCTTATAATTTCATCACATGGTGTGCTCATCATGATGGTGTAATTTCACATATTTCTAATTCCTTCAAATTGATAGGTGTATCTAGAGTTGTTTTTTTTTTTTTAAAGATTGTAGATGGTATTGTATTGTTTATAAGAAGGCAATGGTTTTTTCTGTTTTATGGATTACTAGCCATTGATACTCAATCCCTTAGATCCATTCCTTTGTTAGGTGTTAAAGAATGGTGATTCTTGTGAGCATTTGTTCATTTTGTTAACTGAAGATAAACACTGTACAATCTTGATTCTCTGTCTTTGCTACTTTTCAAGATAAGTGAGTTGGTTCCTTGTTACCCTCTGAAGGTAATCATTCCCCCTTTTTTTGGTACTGGGAATTGAACTCAGGACCTTGCATTCACCAGGCAGGCACTGTATTGCTGAGCTATGTCCCAAGCTTCTTTCCCTTTTTTAATAATCCAAATTATTGTTATCAATGAATAGATTTAAACTTTTTTGATATGTTTTAGTTTGTTGCAATTTTCATCCTATTTACGGCTGAAATTGCCCCGTCTTCTGTGATTGAGAACCTCTGTATATTGCTTTTGGCATGTGGCTATTCTTACAGCTTCCTTGCTACGTGGTATGACAAGGTGCTCACAGTTCATCTTACACGTTTTCTCTACCACACTTAGCCAGTTCCCAAGAAGCCTTTTTTTTTCTCCTCGTAGAAAGTAGTGTTTTTCAACCACAGTCTGGTATTGGAGTTACTCGTTGCTACTGGAGTGATCATTATTTCCAAGCTTTTTAATTAGATGAAATTCATTCTAATATTTCCAACTAGAATTTCATACCACAGGGCTTTGGTTCTGTTTCCATTTATGTCTATAGGTCCTTTTTCCTACCTCACTATTCTGGTTCTTGAGTACAGAAGGAACACTAGAATCACACCAGTTACTTACAGTATCATAAGAGTACTTAAAACAGTTAAATTATTTTTGGATATACTCTCCTCATTCTTCTCCCACTTAAAAAGTAGTTGTATCTGCACTGTCAGATTATATGGCCATTATACTATATGTTGTTTTATTTTATTTTATTTTTTTAAATTTTTTTGTATTTTAAGGAAGGATGGTCTTACTACTAGATTGGATTCATAGTGATCCACCTATTTACAGCCTTCCAGGAGCTGGGATTACAGGGCCTGTTTTAATACTTCCTCGTTTAATCTTATTTTATGTGTAACTATGTATTATTGGTTTATGTTGATGGCTCTGTAGTTGTTTTAGTTTGCTAAATCTTGTTTACTAAGTGATCACAGTATTCCCTGGGTTCGGGCACAGTAATAAGGCTTGTTACACCTGAGTTAGAACTTACTTTTTAAATTTTAATTTAATTTTATTTATTTAATGTATTTAGTACAGGTTCTACAGGGTCGCACTATGTAGATGGGACTCATAGTGATTCTCCTCTTATGAGCCTCCCTAGTGTGGGATTATAGGCTCACCACCATGTGGGCCACCACTCCCAGTCTCAATCGCTGTCTGGGCATGCCCCCAGGGGCAGGGCCAGCATGGCACGCCAGGGGATTGAACCCTGGCCACTGAGCCTGCCTAAGCAGGCGCTTGAGTCCGCTGATCTACCTGGCCGGCTCTTTTTAAAATTTTTTTTGAAAATCATTCATTCATTCATTCATTTATTTGGTACAAGGCCTTACAATGGAGCTCAGCCTCACAGTGAGATTACAGGTATGTGCCACCATGCTGTTTTGGTGACTTGACATAGTATGCCTAGTGTTCCAGGGCTGGCACAGCATGTAGTATCAAGGACCTAACCCAGGTCTTTGCACTTGCCAGGCAGGTGCGTAGACCACTGAGCTATCTCACCAGCCCCAGAACTTTTTTTTTTTAGTGGATGTGTAAATCCTAGGCATATATTCTGCTTACCTTGAATGTCTTAAACATGTTAGTTGCTTTTCCTTCTTATGTAGTGGTTGTATGGACAAGTCTGATGATTCTTGTTTTTCATGAAAGTTTTTTTTAAATGTATTTAGTACTGGTTCTACAGGGTCTCACTATGTAGATTGGACTCGTTTTTAGCCTCCCAAGCCCTAGGATTACAGGTGCATGCCACCATGCCCATTCTCAATTGCTGTCTCAGTGTGCCCCAAAGGTGGGGCTGGCATTGCACACAGGCTGCTGTGCTGTGCCTAAGCAGGTGCTAAAGATGATTCTTGAATTGCTTTTCATTAAAAGTCATCTCCTTGGATTGGGGATTAGCATTAGAGTGTTTTCTGGCATGCCGAAGGCTCTAGGGTCAACCCCCAGCACCACAAAAATAATAACACCAAAACCTTTTTTTAATTTTAATTTATCTAAAATGTTCAGTGGATTTCACCTTTTCATTCACTCTTGAGTCCGTTTTATCTCACAATTTTTTATTTTTAATAAGCCTCTCTTTTCTGTCTTTTAGTTCTTTAAGAGATTTGCTGTTGGGCCAGGGAGATGGCTCAGTGGAATAAGTGCTTCTCTGGCAAGCACAAGGGCCTGAGTTCAATCCCTGCTTCCGCAAAAAAAAAAAAAAAGAGAGAGATTTGCTGTTTATTCATTCTACTATTTCCAATAGTATAATCTTATTTTGTGAAATCCTTTTTCTGCTTTTAATTTTTTTCTTCTATTACCTCAGTTTTGGTTTGTGCTATTTTTTCATAAACATTTAAAAATATTTTTAGTTCATTTTGAAGCAGTAGGTTATAATGCTTGTTTTGTCCATATCTTTCTGGTATACATTCACTGTTCAAGAGGAATTTTATGATTCCCTTTGTGTAATAGATTTGATATCTCTTTTGTGTTTATTTTTGTGTGAAGTTAATTTTCCTATACTTTCAGAAGATGTAAGTAGAATAATTTTTATTATTTTATTTTATTTTATTTTACATTATTTTTTGGCAGAACCGGGGATTGAATTTAGACCCTTGCCCTTGCCAGGCAAGCGCTTATTCTACTGAGCCATCTCCCCGGCCCCTAATTTTTTTAAATATATAAGTCTCATTTATTTTTGTGTACTGTTCCAAAAATCGAAAATAGCTCTCCCTTACCTGTGGGCCTTTGCTGTGAAAGGGAGCTTTAGCGCTGGTCTTGGGGTCTGGTTTTAAGGGTATCCTTGTACTCATCTGGTGCATAATGTATAAACTTGTAGTTTTAGCTGCTTTTTTCAAAATTGGTCTGTTAGGGTCGGGAAGATGGCTCAGTGGAGTAAGCACTTCCCTGGCAAGTGCCAGAGCCTGAGTTCAATCCCCGGTTCCGCAAAAAAAAAAAAAATCTTACATTCCTCAAAATTGGTCTGTTGTGCTTTCTAATGAGTACTTCTGAGCTATGTTTTATTGTTTTTTGGGGTTCATTAGAAGAACTGTTGGTTTTTTTTCTGCTTTCTTACACTTGCCAAAAGAGTACAAGTTTTAACAGGTATTAGTGGTTTGTCGTATGGTTTTGTTACGTATCATTGGGTTTTGGTTTTGCTATCAACAGGTTGTTTCATTATGAGGGCATTTAACAAAAATCAACAATTAACCCAACCATTATAATCATTTTATTTTAAATTTTGCATTATCCTGACTTGTTTTCAGCTGTTTTTTACTTAGTAGAGCATGGTGAATTGCAAACTGGTGGTCAGCTTGTTATACCCAGCTGAACTGAACCAGTGTGGTGCTGGGTGTGGGAGGCCCACTGGAGGATTTTTGCTGGCAGCATAAGAGGCGGAACTAGAGATACTCTTTGAAGAGGCTGTTAGGGAAGCTGCTGTTTGTTTTGGGCTATTCTGCTGGAGGACCTTGTCATGCTGGCTTTCCTGATGATCTTGATTGTTCTCATTGGAGGAGGTGCTCAGGACCTCATCATCTCTGAGCATGGCTATGGATCACTTTGGGGAAGCTCTGGTCCTAATCTTGAGCATCACTTTCTGGCTCTAGAGGGGAAGGTGGTACACTGCTTAGTCTCCTGAAGAAGTTTGTCGCATTGGCTTTCCTGATGGGAACTCAAGTTTCCTCATCATCAGAGGAGCTCTGGACTTCACTGTTGCTGAAGATGGCTGTGGTATTCTTTGGGGGAGCTCTGGTTTTTACCTTGAGTGTTGCTTCCAGGCACCAGTTCAGATCCTTCAGTCTGTTAGCACAGATCCTTGATCCCACTAGCGTAGACTTTTCTAGCTTCCACCACTGACCTTGGGGCCTTTCCGAAACAGATCTGTGAAACAGGCCTCCATGAACCATTGTCATGGGCTCTTGGCCTCCAGCTGACCTCATAGGGGGCATTGTTATGGGCTCTAGATCTTTAGCTAGACTCAAACAGGACATTACTGTGGGATCTAGATCCTCGGCTGGAGTTTTTCATGTGTGGAAGGATTTCCTGCACGCTTTATATATACTTCTTCAGGTGATTTATTATAAAATAATCTTATAAGATGCGTCTTGTGTTGTTCCCCTTTGCAAAGCCCAAACTGACATAAGAGTGTGGGCCACTCCCCCATGTCTCACTTATTAATCAAAATCATTCCATCAGATCACATATCATATGCCATATTTTATCAGTTCATTTAGTCAAAATTAATAACTATATTAATAGATGAATGGCTCAATAAATATGGTAATGTAATTAATACTGTGATGAAGATTTACACATTTTTTTCTTTAATAGCTGCATTTTTGGAAGATTTGGCAGTAATTGTAAAGGTAATACTGGTTTATGTTTTAGCATGCTTCATGATGATCCAAGCAGAAGGATTCCTGCTGAAATGGCACTGTGCAGCCCTTTCTTTAGCATTCCTTTTGGTAAGTGGTGTAAGTCTTCGTTTTTTCCTAGTCATTAGATAATCTTACAGTGTATATTTCTGAGCCCTTTTTCTGTCATTCATCAGTTTATTTGGGAGAATTCATATTTAACTATAGCATAATGAACTTCAACAGCCCCTCATATTGAAGATCTGGTGATGCTTCCTACTCCAGTGCTGAGGCTGCTCAACGTGCTGGATGATGATTATCTTGAGAATGAAGAGGAATATGAAGGTCAGTTCTTCCCAGGTTTTGTCTGATGTCTTTTTCTTACCAAGTCTAGATATATCTATTCATAAGATTCTCTTATTTTCCCAATCTATAAGAAAGTTAATATACTAAGTATATTTTACTATATCATCTCCAAATTACTCTTCTTGATTCATAAAGTACTTTTGACTCTCTTATACCTCCTTTTTACTAAATTGCCAAGATTAAATTCTCCAACAGTTTGTCTCTAGTCCTTTTGTATCCCATCTCTATGGTTTTATTTTTCTTTTGTAGCTTACTTTTTTTGCTTTTCACAATTCATTAGACATTTACTAAGTATTATGTATCATTGTTAATTATTCCATTTTTAATATAGTAGAGGAAGCACATATGAGCAGTGACAGTTGTAATGGTCTGAAGGTAATGAGGACTGCGGGAAGGAAGGGTGTGTAGCTCAGTGTCAGCAATTAGTACTTCTCTGCAGAGGCTGTGTCTGACTTCTGTTTGTAATTAATATTACTTGGCTAAAAGATGAAGCATTGAAATATCACGCAGATCTGGAGAACTTGGCGCATTCATAGACAATAGTTGGTATGATTATCTTAAGTTATTTGTAGGACAGGGACCAGGGTTCGATACCCTGCACTACATGCCACGCCAGCCCTGTCTCCGGGTGCATGGCCACCAACACTGGGCATGATGGTGAATGCCTGTAATCCCAGCGCTGGGGAGGCTAAAGCAAGAGGATAACTGAGTCTGAGCTGCACAGGGAGACCCTGTACCAAATACATTAAAAATTATATGTTTTCATAGCAAAGCAGTTGATTAAAGCTACAGATATCTGATAGATCTAGTTGCTATGTTTTAAGAATTTGGATATTATCCAAGAGATAGTAACACTGGAACATAACTTACATAAAAGAGTGTAGTCAGTCCTCGATAAATATTTATTTTAGGAAGGAAGAAAGTGCTAGTTAAAATCAAACTACAGTGTCTTTTTGTTAACTATCACATGGACATGACCCATTGATACCTTCTGGACTGTTAACTGAGACATAGAAGTATGCGCAGGTTTTATCTATTGTGGTATTGTTTGTGTCAAAGGTTTGAAAATACTTTAATTACTTAGGGGACCTACTAGATAGTTTACTGAACATTTGTGGAGTAAAGTACCAAACAACCATAAAACAAAGGAAAGGATTTCATGTAATATTATGGCAAGCTCCAAAAGATGTTGTTTAACAAATAAAAAGGATTAAGATTCTTAAAGTATATATAACCGTTTTTGGTTATATGTACTGATAACGTAGTTGACAGCATAAGGAAGAAACTGATTATTAATCAAAACATTACATCAAATCATAATGTATATCATATGCCATGGTATATCACTTCATTTAGAAGTGATTGGGAAGGTTTGAGGAACACTAAAGCCATACCATTTTTTTTTTTTTTTTTTTCTTTCCGGAACCAGGGATTGAACTCAGGCCCTTGCGCTTGTCAGGCAAGCGCTTATTCTACTGAGCTATCTCCCCAGCTCCAAGACATACCATTTTAAATGTTTAATTATTTGAATAGCACTTATGTAAAACACTAAAATAAAAGGTGCATTTCTAAATGCACTGAATTTATATTTTTAAGCTTTGATTTGGAAATATATAAAATTAGTTTTATATTACTGAATCTTTGATTTAACATCTCAGATAATGAGTATTACTCTAATACATTACAATATTATATTTATGGTTTCTCCAATATGTTTTAATTACCAGATGTTGTAGAAGATGTAAAAGAGGAGTGTCAAAAATATGGTCCAGTGGTATCTCTGCTTGTTCCAAAGGAGAATCCTGGCAGAGGACAAGTAAGTTAATATATTCACAATTGCAGAATTATTCAGAGATTAAACTTCTCTGTTAAATATTCCATGGAAAGATGTACACAATAGTTTTGTTAAGAAATAAGTATTATGCATTATGGATGATTTTTGTGTGTGTGCTTTTTACTTTTTTCTTTGAGTTTTATCATATACTCGCCTTTTTAAATCAGGCTTTTAAAAAAAGTATTAATCTATGTTTGAGCTATTATAAGCAGTGACAGCAATTGAATTACATGCTTATCTAGGTCAGGTTCATATAGAGAAGTATTTGGTTCAGTTTTGTTATGTTTAAGTAGAAGTAGAAATCATTTAGGTTAGGATCTGATTGCACACTTTGAAGAAATGAAGTGTGCTGGACTGAGAAACCTAGTCTCAATGATTGTTTTGATGAGCCTCACATTCTTCATCTAAAAAATGTATGAGCTAAAACTGACCAATGTTTTTTAGAAATTACAGTTCTAAATTATAAAGAATATGAGGGAAAGGAGAAAAGAAAGAAGGATGAGAAAAATACATAAATA